CCTGAAGCACTGGCTCAGACCCACTCTCTCCTGGCACCTCAGTCCTGCCCCGGCCTCTGTGCCCACCCCTGGCCAGTGGGCCTACTTTCTTCAACGTCCAAGGAAGAACCTGGCCCCTTGAGCACCTACCTACTCCCATCTGACACAAGCCGTCCTTCTCCCGACCTCTGGCATCGCTGCCTCCTGGGAGGACTTCCCTGGGATGGGGACAGACCCCCCTCAGAGCTAGTCCACAGCACCAGCACCGTCCTCTGCTCCCACGTGAGAAGATGGAGGTACAAGGAAACAGAGCGTGGCCCAGCCAGGACCCCCGTAGCAGCTCTCTGAATGCAGACTGTCTGCGTCACCATTCCAGAAAGCTGCCCAGTACAAGTTGCCCCTCTCTGGTTGCTGCCGGCCCGGTCCAAGAAAGCTGAGCCATTCAGGACGGCCCAGTCACCTGGGGAGAGCATCTCAATCTGGCCCCAGCAGGGCACACGCTGCCCTGTAACAGCCCATCCTCAATCTCACTCGGGGCTGAGAACCCTTGTCCAGGACACACTGACTCTTCCTGTTGCCAGGGTGGGGCTGGGCGGCCAGGGCCAGTGGCTGCCCTGCCAGGGCTGTCCCTTTTGGGAACGGTGACTCGACTCCGGTTCCGCTTCAGCGGTGGCTGGAAGTGTGGGCCCCACAGGCACCTGGCACGGAGCTCCAGACTGCTGCACAATCCCTCATTGAAGCGCCCCGTCTCCAGCTTCCCCGAGTTCGCCAACAGAGTCACACGCACCCCACCACCCCACCCGCCACGTCCCTCCCTCCCTCGCCAGCGCCTGAGGAGAGAGAACAGCGTGACCTTTAGAAAAGCTACCAGCCTGGTCCACCAGCATGTGCATGCTAAGAAGGGGAGCCTGTGCTTGTCCCCTAGGAGTCCACATTCCCCTGCCTTCATCCCTAAGAGCACCTCGGGGTGCCTTCAGGGCACACCCGTCCACCCCTCCTAGGGGTGGGGGCTGGAGGAGGAGGGGGTCAGAGCCTGGGGAAGGGTGGAGCCAGTGAATAGAGAGCCCCCGGGCAGCAGCTGACCCCCGTGCATGCCCTGCAGAGTCCTTCTGGGACGCTTTCCCCTCCCCTTGGAAGCCAGCCAGCACATTCATCCTCCAGCTGACTTGGTCCTAAAGCAAGCCCCAGAGAAAGAGACAGGCAGGGGTGTGACAAAGACTCACAGGACGAGCTGGGAGCTTGGCCCTCCTCGTCCCTCTTGCCCTTCAGGCCAAACCAATGAAGACAATGAAGGAGAGTTGGTCATTTCTGGGGACAGTTTGTGTTGTCACAACTAGGGGATGTGTAGTGGAGAAGGCAGGCAGGGCCCCCAAGTGCCCAGGATACCCATATAGGGTATTGTCCATCCCAAATGTCAGTAGTTCTTCCATCGAGAAACCCTATTCCAGAACACCAGTCCAGGGGGCCCTGGAGTGCCCTCCCCTACTTCCCACTCCCAAATCCCAGGGAGATTGCGCAACACAAGTTCAAGAAAAACCTAGCTGCTGTTGTGTTTCTTTCCACAGCTGAGCTCTGTCCGGGAGGCCCAGTTAGAGCGGCTGGAGGTGGCCAGACCCCGAGGGCTGGGGCGCGGGGAGCCGGGCTTGGTGCTGAGGATGGCCAGGAAGCAGCCGCCGCCCTGGGTCCATGCAGCTGTCCTCCTCTGGCTCCTTGGCCTGGGCGGGGCCATCGAGATTCCTATGGATCGTGAGTTCTGCTGTCTTCCTTTCTCTCTTTCCACCCCAAGCTGGGGGCCGCGGGAGGGGGACCTTTTAGAGAATCTAGCAAGGGGGCTGGCAGTGGATTCTGTGTGTCACAAGCCAAGGCGGGGCATCTCGGCCCTCTCGCTCAGGGCTGGGCCAGCCAATAGGGCATTTGGGCAGGACCAGGGGTGGCAAAGTCCAAGAAGCAACTGGAGTCGTGAGAATGGGCAGTCAGTCCTGAGGCCGACGCAAGGGGCGAACTGTGCATTGCGGAAGCAGAGCCACTCAGTTAGGAAGGCAGCCCAATTAAGTAACACCGGCAACTTTGAAAATGGCTGTACCATCAGCCTTGGGGACTCTGAAATCGCCCCACTTACGGCTGTGGCTTGGGGCCTGTGCGAATTCGTGGGCAGCTCGTCAGAGCTACGGAGGAAGATGCAGAGTCAGATGAAGAGGAGGAGGGTGGGGAACTCTTAGGTACATCGGGGAAAGTGGCCTGCCTCTGGGCGTGGTAACAAGGTCCCACGGGGGAAAGTGAAACTCAGTGCTGGTGAGGATGATGCCGATGATGGAGACTTTTATGCTGAAGAAAAGGCCCCAGTGAGGAAATCTTTGC